GAAAAACGCAAGTGAAAATGTGATTTTTGGCAATTTTTCTAAAGGGTCTCTAGGGAACCATAAAGCTGAAGCACAACACCGGCGAACGGCAAATTTTTCGTCTCGAATGTTCGCCGAAATAATTAAAACACACTGATTTATATGAGAACGCGCATAATCAAAGCAAACGACGAAGTTTGCTCGACGACTGTTCGCGACGATAGATTTATTTCTATCGCCGCGGTCAACGGCAACGACAAAAAAAGGCCATGATGACCATACTTTAAAAGTTATCGTAATTTTTGTTTAAAAGTAAAATAATATACCTTATATTTTTCTATCAGAGATTAATCTAGTAAAACGTAAGTTTACTAGTAGCTATATTTAAAGACTATTTCTATATTTTAAACTTCTTGCTGGTATTTTCCCTCTTCGTTGTAAAAGCATCCTTCTTGAAACATGGTCACCTTATCAGCTGACAGCATTCGAACCGCTCGATACCGCTCTATGGGCCATGTCTCACGATCAATATTTATTGACGTGATCCAAGATTCGCGATATTTATTGACTGTGTAGCATGCAATGTTGATGGATCGTGATCCATATCGCAAAATTTCCAGAAATTTTGAAATCTGGATCGCGGATCGCAGTACTGTCAATAAATATTGAACGTGTAGCATATTTCGTTCGCGATACGTCAATACGTGTGTATTTCAAAATAAAGTGGAGATTTAAATGTTAAAGGCAAAACGTTAATTATTGGATTAATTATTTATTTGGCAGTGGTAATTTTTAATAATGTCGGACGACGAAAGCGCGGCGGTGTTGGGATTAACGAATGACCAAAGGTGTTTGAAGGAGTTTATCCTACAATTGGAAAGTATGCCGGAATTGTGGGATCCTTCGTCCAAAAGCTACATGAATAAAATAAAAAGAACGGCCGGACATGAGAAATTATTACTAATCTTAAAAAAAATTAATGATAACGCCACTGTAGGTGATTATTGAATTATTGACACCAAGCGCTCCCGAGCTGGTACAGAAGACGTTTATATTCCAAAGTCTTGGACATTTAACGCTCTTCACTTTTTAAATAAAAATGTGAAGCCTGTTGACCTGGTAAGTAAATTTG